AATACCTGTGTGGGAACTTGCACCCTCGAGGGCTTCTAGTAAGACAAAAATGAATTCCATTCAGATAATATAAGAGTAGATTCATACAGTACAAGACTTTATAAAATTTTTTTTTGAGTAAAATATGAGAAAAAAAGTCTTTATATACTACGTACTTTGATAGCACAGATGAAATTGGTATAAATAACTTTACTAAATCTGTCTTGAAAATCATAACATGATCATTTACTAAAGATCATTTCTGTATAAGATTGTATATAAATCTTTTTAAAATAACAATCTTACACAAAAGCATGTGAAAAAAGGTATCGATATATTAAATAAGCTGCTAAGTAAACATAAGTACAATGAAACCTCGAGTCTACTTGTGAGGAAATGACAGATGAAATAATTACACAGTTGAAAGCCTCTGAAGTGATGTACAATAAAATACAGAGTGAAAAGAACACCAGGAAAGTGATATACGTGAACAGGCTACCCTCTACTGGTCAGCACCCATTATACAAGTAGCACAGCCTAGTAGCAGTGAAAAAGACACCAGTCAAACTTCTGGATAGCATCTCTTTTTGAAAATGAAAGGTTAACAGCATCATAATGTGACTAATTAAAAGTTAAGCACATGCAAATACATAAAAATAAAAAAAAAACAAAGCAATAAGAATATTATTGCTGAAATTAAACTGACCTCTGAAAACACAAGTAAACACAGTAGACACTCTCCAGTATAAAACTTACGTAATGGGCAAAAAAGGGAGCTTTAACATAAAAGAACATTTTATGTTCTTGTAAAAGAACATTTAAAATAATTTACAGATTTCCTATCACTAGCCATTGTGGTGGGCAGAAAACCCAACAACGGAGAGGGAAGTAAAGACAGCTGATTTCAATGAATGACGACCTAATTTTTAACACAGAAGAATCACGACAACCATTCTTGAAACGCAGCTCTGTCTCAGGTAACATAAAGCAGCTGTTTAACAGCTAAAAAGCGCTGGCTGCACTGTATAAATAGCTTATTATGCAAGTCCAGGCTCCTTTTAGGTAAAAAAAAAAAAATAAACCACCCCACATGCAATTTTGCTCAGCTGAACAATCAGTATTTGCTAGGTAAAATATTTCCCACCATGGAAACTATAAGATTAATATCTGAGGCTGACAATACACGGAGCTATTTTATATGGGCCTTTTACAGAAGCAAAGCACTATGAGGCAAGCCTCATTGTTAAGTAATTTATAATTCTTTAAGACAAATGACACCAACACCCAGTGGTATGCAGCATTTCCAATACTCTAAATGCAAAGATAGAAGAACTACAGGAAACCTGTAAAAGACTATATCCAGAACAATTAGCCAACTTTTCTTATGTGACTCAAAAAAATCTGACTTTAGGAGTTAATGTATCCATTATGCTTAGGTAATAAAGAATACTTAAAGCATATGAAAGTACAGTAACAATGAAAGAGGAGGACTCAAAATCAGCAAAAATAAATAGTTCAGCATTCTTGCATTTCACTCACCTTTAGCTGGCGAGAATGGTTGAGAAGCAAGGGGATCAGAGGAAAGTTCCAATGGAAATTGTAGCTGTTCTTCATTGTCTGTAGATGCTTCAACAAAGAAAACACACCCAATTAATAATTAACCCCCAAAATAAGATTTGCCAATAATAACAAGCAGACATTCAATTTAGTCAGGTCTGACTGGAACAGGTTTTTTCAGCACACTTATACAGTGATGCAGTGCTGTATGAACAGTTAGATGTCTGACAATAAATCCAGCTGCAAAACTGAACAGAACCTGTGTTCCATTGAGCAGGATTTGATTTAGTTAGGAAAAAAATATTAAGTCAATTCATTTATTTTAGATTTGATTCTGCAGTTGGATCCGAGTTAGCTATACATTACAGTAAAAAGTAACGTGATTTATTTCATATAAAAGAAAACAAACAATTTACTGTTACTATTTAAGATGTAAGGTATAACTAATGTTTTAGAAACATATGGCTCTGTTCTACTACTGAATTCCATTCTTCAGAAGGGATTATCTTCAAAGTTCTGCCTGAATTCCCATATCCAGATTGCATACATACATTTCTAGCATAAAATGGTGCCTTAGCAAGATGACATACGCAGATTGCAGTAGTCTCTTCTATTCCCTCCATAATGCTATATGCTTCACTGATCTCCAAATATATTACTGACCTACTTAAAGGTGAGGTTTTCTAGGTTTTCTGAAGTATTATGAATAATTTATTTTCTGCCTTCTTGAATTAAGGACAAAATTTGTTACTTATAAGAACAAGTCTTCTCTAACGACTTAGACCACGTTTCAAAATACAACGGCAATGTTATCATCTGTTACACTAACTCTTTAAGGAAAAATACTCAAAGAAAGATGATACATGGAATAAGGAAATACCAAAGGTTTTTTTCATATTAGTAGAAGTTTGTTGATTACATACAAGCAAATACTTAATACTTGATGAGTAAGTCATCCTGCTGGATGTCGCATACATGAACTCTAAAAAAATTCTTACGTTACAACTTTATAATTTTATAGAACTTCCCTGTAAGAATGTGTAGACGTAACTGAAATTAAAAGGTAGACTCATTAGGTGATCGGGTGGGGGGGGAAAGGAAAGAAAAACATTATCTCTTATCTTTACATGCCTCACAACATTTACCTCTTTGCTGTGATTTTTCTGTAGGGGCTTTGTTGGCTTGTAATGTTTGGTTTTTGTCAAACGTAATTGCAACCGCTGTGACTGCAATCTGTAAATAAGAAATACGTGGCACATTAGGTAACTTAATCTCTCATACAATCTGCAAAAATAATTTTGTAAACAAGCCAGATTTTTCCATAGAAAAATAATGGGGGGGGGGAAGGGGAGGGAATCATCTAAGTAGACATATTAAAAACCCTTCACAGCAGAACATAAAAGCTAACACTAAGGTCCATTGTTAGAACATACACCTGACAGCGTTTGTCCTATATTTATGATTTTGTTCATCAGTTCCTTCCTTCTTTCTTGGTGAACTGACATTAAAAGAATCATAAAAACTCATTGTAATTGTATTTGTAAGAAAGAGAGATGCTTTACTGATTACAAGAATGATGCTATATATCTAAAGAAAACATTTTCTTTAAAAATAATGAAGTATATCACACCATCTTGAAACAGCAAGAAAAAATTAAACAATTATAATGACAGCATACTTAGAAAACTAGTGTACCATATTCTTGTAGCATATCTGGTAACACCTTTTAATGAGTATCTAGTCAGGGCTTTTTGTTTCTTATTTAACTAAAAAGATACACGCTGTTACAATGCACTGTGCTCAGGAAATGCCATGTAGTCCCATGATTCCCAAAACTGGTGAACTGTAAACTGGTGAACTCAACAGGTCATCCTTTTTCTTCACCAAACATCATGGCCTTAAGTTTTTACTTCAGAATTCGCCAGACATACTAGTAAATCAAATCCTAGTATAGTTTAGTCTGAGCAGCAAATGTTAATTACAGGCCAAAACTGGCATGCCTACACGCTGGAAGTCAAAAGCAGCAGTTTATTTACCTGAACTAATTCATCCTCCGGTAGAGCAACTGTAAAATTTACATGACAAAGGCAGCAGGGAACCATAGATCGTAGTTTAAAATACAAGCTCTGTTGAAGATAAGACATTAGTTGTGTTACTTAAAAAATGCATGGTTTATTTCAGAGAAATTAAAGAGGAACTCTTTTCATAGTAGGAAGCATCTCATCATACTAATTTTTTCTTTAAGAAGGATGCAATCTACTGTGTAGCAGGATGTATATTTCTGCTTCTAGAGAACCAAAGGACTATTGAGATTCAAAAGGCTTTGGAAATCCTTAACAAACTAAGAAGGTTGACTCTTATCTTTAGAGCAGCTTACAGACCATTAAAGACACATTGTAACAGTCTAATTCCAAAAAGTAATTACGAAGAAAATGTTATTTTTAGTATAGCCTGATTTTACACTTTGTTTCCATTTAAATAATTCAAAAAACATTGGAAATAAGATTCTTACCTTCAACAGATTCTCACAGAGATCATTAAAGTTCTTATTAAGTGTTTGATTTGTTAGGTTAATGTTGCTTAATCTGGATACTCTTACTGCTGTGAACATCTGAATTAGAAACAAACACACTTATTTTTTTTCCCCAATATTTGTTCATATGTTATACGAAAAACAGAACAAACTCATAAAGAAGGCAAATAATGCATAACATGGTAAGGGGAGGGAGAGAGAGGGAAAGAAAATGAAAAAACTCTAGCAACAGTAAGTCAAGTAAAGAGCTTATTGCTCATGAAATTTTACAAACAAAAGGCAATTTTTCTGTGAACTAATGTGTATGAAACAAGTGATTAAGATATGAAATACTCTATGTTCTTTTTATTTGCTTCATAAAGGTGTCATTCTACCTGCTATATATTTTGTTAGCTGCATTTGAAAACTGCATGTTAAATTGTGTACAATGAGGTGGATAATAATGGACTGTCATTAACAGACACGCAGGCAATCCCACCATCCTGAGAGTACGCTGCTGGTGCAGTCATACTGTTTTCAAGTTTGAGCTGTGCCACTGCAAAGCACAGTCCTGCATTGCTCCAATTAGGTGTAAAAGCTCGGATAGATCTGGTTTAACTCTCTATATGAGACTGAATTGTGTTGTACAAACATGACCAAAATGTTTACATTTAATTATAAACGGAATTTTTCTCTACTCATCGCATTGGCTTTATCTAATTCTTATTTACCTTAACCTATTAATGTTACCATACTCAGTATCTCACACCAAGCAACACAGTCAACAATTTGTCTCTTTTAAGAGGCTTTAAAATCCATCCAGGCTCTTAAAAAATGTCCAAAACCTTAAAGTTCATATTTACTGTAATTGTTTTCTGATTTGGTATTTTTGTACCAGGTTCTCTGTTACATTAACAGCATTGAAAAAAACACAAAGAAACAGGTTTTCATACCCTATTTTTCTTACCAAAATACTACTTTTATTTCTAACAAAAGAGTATCCTTTTCACTTATCTTTCAAAGTTAGTGATCTTTAATATATATTTAAATTACTACAGCATATTTCAACACAATTTGGAAAAAAGTTTTCGTTTTCTTTGAATAACCTTACTTGAATTTCCGGTGTCCAGTTATTTATACCAGGCATAATTTCTGTGTTGCAACTGTAAAAACCTGTAAAGAAAATATTTGGGGAAATCTATGTTGCACATGGAAATATAAAAATACTTTTACAGAAACATCATGTGACCTTACTTGATGTTTTGCAAGTATTTGCCTTCATGTGGTTTTGAATGTTGAATAATATACCAGAAGATCGACCAACATTCAAAACAGATGTAGCCTCTGAGGAGTACAATATAACATACGCAAGAAACGCGCTTTCTGCTATTCATACTGCAGTGAAAAAACAGATAGGAAAGATGGAACTCACCACTTCTAAAACACTAACTCACTACAGAATTCTTATTCTGCATATACCCTCAATCGCCAAAACACAAGGCCAGAAATTTTCCTTAACGCCAAAACATTCTTGTAGGAAGGGTGAACACCCACAATGCACTACTGCTCTGCCTAGTTTCTAATAGACAAACTACATACAAACAATTAAACTTATTAGAAAGGTGTGATTGGTAAAGCTAAAAGGCTTTGACAGCACAGAGATGCTTTAAAGATACTACCTAGAGACAGAGTGCAAATACGTAGCACTTACAGAGTTGAAAACAAAACAAAAAAAACCACAAAACCAACCAACCAACACAAAACAAAAAAAAAAACACACACAAAAAAAGAAGAAAGTATAATGACTAAGTAGCAGGGTAAGAAAAGTTATAAACAGCAAACAGGCAATGTTGAAAATCTGAAGATACAGCTAAATGACCACAAAAGAGAAAAACCTGGTAGGGCCTATGCAAATGCACAAAATAAGCTAAAAAAGACATTGCGTAGCAGCTTGTGGAAGGTGTAAACATCAATAGCTTTTCTTTCAGAACATCAAAAGCAGAAATCTTGTTGAAGAGTCAAGAAAGATATAGAAAGAATATGCAGAGGTGATAACAGATAACATGATAGCTGACAACTTGCCTTTTTTTTTTTTTTTTTTAAAAAAACAATGTTCACCACAGTAGTGGAGCTTTCCACAACAGTGGAAAACCAATGCCCTTGTCTATTTTCCATCAGAGAATCCATCTTAAGCAAAAGTGTCTGAAGGAGATACAGAACAAATAGGCAAACGAAAAATAAAGATTCACAAAAACAACAGCAAAGGCAAAAGATGAAATAGCTGACTAATTGGCATTGAACTTTAAACTGCCCTACGATGGGAGGGGAGGATTCTTTAATCTTCAGGTGGTGACGAGGTGCTTTTAGTGACTGAGACCTACTAATTTGCTTAGTACAGATACCTGAACTATTGGCCCATAGAAGCTACTCCAGAAAATGGAGTTCATGGGCAGATGGAAAAAGAAAAGACTGCAGAGAAGCTGATACCACTTTTCTATGTAACAGTCATTGCTCACAAGCTGTCAACAAGCATGTAGACAAAAGGCATCAGACTGATACAGCCTACTTCGGACATCAAAAAGCGTGTGATAAAGAGTCCTTGGTGAAGGATCTTAAAAAACTAAGGGTAGAATGGAGTACCATTGAAGGAAACACAATTATTATAAGACTGGAAAGAGGGGGTCAAAATAAATGCTCAGTTTTCACAATGGAGACATCTATAACTCAGGATTGCATGCTTCCAGTGTATTTATAACTTATCTGCAAAAGAGGACAAAATGAGGTGACTGCTGATGGCCTTATTTTAGGATAGTAAAATGAACTGTGGCAGGACCTAACAATGGATAGTCAATGAGGAATAAAAGATTTGATGGTCATAATAGTAACTATGACCAGGATAGTTCTGAGCTCAACAGTACTCAAAATGCTAAACAATGACATCAGTTATTAGGAAGGGAACAGATATGTGCTCAGAAGAAACATAGAGAAACTCACAAAGATAACAGAAGGAGGACAAGGACGGCCAAACGTACAGAGCAACTTCCCTATAACGGACAACTACATTAGCCTCTCATCCAGATCAAGGAGTTTTATCGAGGAGGAGATGACAGATACCTATACAACCACAAAGAGCACAAAAATGACTGATACACAGCCATGATTCACTGTTCTTCCCAATACATGAAAAAGGAAAAAGCGGCTGATATGAACCTAGCGTAAGAAGCTGGCTCTTACACGGGTACAGATCCTGATGCAAAACTCTGTGAACGCTGAAGGTGCACATGGGCTCAAAATGCAAACAGCCAAAGGCACAGAAAAGTTTGACTGAGGCTATTGTTTACAAAGACAGTAAGTTTCTCTCAGGATGCCGTTGAACTACGAACTGTTAGCACGCTGTTCTGTGAGATTTTTTTTTTTCCTCCCTCTTATATTAATGCAACACACATTCTCACCTGATCTCTGCCAGCGAGCAGACATTGAGTGATTCAGTACACCTCCCCCTAAGTAGGGTTCTTCAATTAATTTTTAAATGCAGACAACTAAACGGACACCTCACAAAGTTCTATTGCCAGCAATGCAGCCTCAACATTTGTATTTGTACTGTGAAGTAAGACAACATCCATTTCAAGTCTCCTGATTGAATTCTGAAAACTATTCACTTTGATCAGTTTCGTGTTTTCAAGGTGCAATACTTTCTAAAAATACATCTATTAAAAACACTGCAGAAGTTAGAAACTACTCTATTTCTATTATTTGACTTTACTGCCTTCTACAGAAAATGACCAATACTGACTTGGGTAAAAATGCTGTGGCTGATTTAAGAACTCCCTATCATTTTGGACTTCGCTTTTTTCAACAGCAAAGATTACAAATGTAGTGAACACAAAGACTTAAGTTGACAGTATGGCACAATCACAAGGCAAGAAAAATACAAATTCACTTGCTGAACAAGAGTACTGAAACGGCAAATTGCTCACTTTTAATAACATTCTTGGAATACAACACCAAAATGTCACATTACACATCTAGGAATACTTAAAGAACATTCTATTCTCCATACTTCTACTTTCATTGACTCTGAAATGTATAAATCAGCCACTCAGAGTGTACAAATCTTCAGAAATTATACACTCTTGAACTTTTTAAATAAAAAACCAGTTCTATTTTGTCATTTTGCAGTCTACAGTGCAAATTAGAAAAAATATGGTTTTAACTATACCAGAAGGTGGTGGAACATCTGTCAGTAAAGAATGTACGTCTTCCATTGCATCTGTATCATCAATCTGGAATAAGGAAAAATTGATAAAAATCATGTTACTGTTCCAGTCAGAAGCCTCAGAAAGGTGTAAAAAACTTTGTCACTGAGAGATCTATATCTGTCAGCTAAGTTGAGATTTAAAAAATGGATTCCATCAACCAGCCCTCTGAATCTTAACTAGCAGCCTATGATACACCTAACACTAGAAAAATAGTTCTCTTAATCATATTATATTAAAAATAAAGCAATGTACATAGAACACACAGAAACTGCAGTGGATAAGACTAGAATAACAAAAATAGTATTTCTAAAACAATTTAAAATGCTGACCAAAGTTCCACACAACTTGAAACTTTTTCCAGATAAAAAAAGAAACTACTAGAGCTTTCATAAGGTCTGTATTATACTGATGTGATCGTTCTCTGCCTATTCCAATGACACATAAAAATCCTTCCGGGACTTCAAAAACCTTGCTTAGTACGAACAGCAGAAAAATCAAATAGGGAAAGGTAAATCTGGGGATTATTTGTTTTTCCCATGCAAGTAACCTCTACTCCATTTAATCTCCAAAGACTTTTGTTACTTTAGATCAGATGAAGAGCATATCTGCCCTGCTACCTTCTGTAAGTATTTCTGTCATGTGTCTTGAGGTTCTTTCTGCCCTACTGATCTGCAAGAGATCCAAGCCTATCTCTAACTTCCAAAATTTTCTCACCAAGTTTTTTGGAAATTGTTTGTATTTTAATTCCAGTACTAAAGGGTTCTCTGTCAGGTATTTTCTCCTTCTCTCTTTCAAAGTAAGAGGAGTCATCTTTTTTTTTCCCCTCCGAAGAAAATACAGCCTCTCATAATTGCCTTCCCAGCACCTCATAGCATTTCCTCATCACAGAGAATTTTTTTTAACACTTTTTCTTACATATTTCCAGTGAATTAATTTTACTCTTGAAAGGTCAGAGTCAGGAGCTTCACTAAAGCTCCTGGAATATTGTTTCTGATATCCAACTTCTTAACAAAGACAGTAGTAAGTGGTTCCACAGGTGAAAAGTCTTTTTTTTTTCTATAAAGATTGAACTACCAAAACACAGGGACGTGTGTTGTAGGACAAACACATTCACACAATGCAAACCAGCAAACAACAGTCCATAAACATCAGATCTTATTTTTCTTGCTAACTTTAGCACCATCTATAATGTACTCTACAGTACGCTATCGTGTATTTACATTTTTCCCTTCTACATAGAGATACTGGAGTTAAATAAGGTACAAGGAAGAATTCTCCAAAACTGTAAAAAAAGAACTTAAGTCTGCTTGCAGGATATAGCGCAGTCCTTAAATAGCTGGCCTTTGCATGTTACATATCAAGCTTCTTTATGAGGCAACTGGACAGAAGTAGCATAACAAGCTTTTATTATTGCTCTCTCTTGTATTTGACAGCCTTTAGAAGCGAAATGGAGGATGGACGTATGTTTTTCTGGTATTCTTCATAACTTGTCCAAAGGGTCTCCTGTAGTACAACAGTCTTTGTGGATTTTTTTAAATGCCTTACACAATCATGTCTTACAAAGGCATTTGACCCTTTTTGCATTTATCAAAGTATTTTCTGATTGGTTCATCCATTTCAATATAATCACAACTTTTGTTTTCAGGATACGAATCCACTCCTGTCAGTCTACACAGATGATGATATTAAAACAAAACCAAAAACCTGTTAAGACCAGCTGCAAAAATTACTTGATGAAAACTGTCCTCATTTCTTTTTAGTGTGAGAGTTTACTAGCATCGAAGTTACTTTCAGGGACTTTCCAATTTATTTATTGGGGTCCTAGTATACCCATAATGCATTGGACAGCAAAAATTTACTCAAAGAGCAGAAGCACCAACCAATCTCAATTTATTATACCAGCTTCTTCCAATCTGTTCTTTTTTCACTCTCCTTTCTTACCTCTGTTGCTGTTACAGTGCTCTCTCATTCTCCCCATCTAAAACCTTTCTTCTAGATTATTTTCTATGAAGACAGTGATTTCTGAAGATTAACATAAAGGAAAGTCTTGAACGTACCTTAGTCTGCACTTACAGGCTGTAATTTAGTCAATTGTTTTCTTTTTCTTAGTCTAGGACAGGTATTTGTAATACCTATATCTACAAGACGACAATCAAAACTCTAGCCTTCTTTAGTACTTGACTCCTTTCCTTCAAAATTGTACGAAGTTAAAATCACATATTTAAATTTTATGAATAGAGAGGTAAAAGGAATCTACGTTATCTACACGTGTTGTTTCTAGTTCTAGTTGTAGAAAGAATTGGAACACTTCTCTGGAGTTTTTAATTCTTGAACTCTGAAAAGCATCAGCTGAAATTCAGAAAAGCAACTCCTTTTTATGTGCTGTCTTGACCCATGTGTTTTTTTGAATGCTTTGAATACTACCAGTTCTGGAAACTAGTAATTCTGAATATCCAACTGTAACAATAAGAGCTTTGAAACGGTAAGAGCATACAAGCTTTTTCTTTCCTAAATGTACAGTGTGACAGCACTGAACCTCAATGTTTGTAAAAATGTATCTAAGTTTTGGATCAGCCAAGACTGCTGCTTGAAGTAGGCAGAAGGGCATTTCTTACCAACTCTTAGTTATTATTCTAGACACTGCTACATGAACTGCAGGACAATCTTTTTTCAGATATTGTCTCTAGGCATAATATAGCTATGTTATAAGCAAACAGAGTAAGAAACAGAGAGACAACACAAAATTCAATACTTAACATTTTCTACTGATATAAAATGGAAAAATGTATATACATTTACATAAGAACTGCCTTTGGAGATGAGTAAGAAAAACTTTTTTCACGTTTTCTTTTTTAAATACATATTTCAGGAAAAGAAAAGTATGAAAATGAGTACTGAAAACATTTATCACCTCCAAGACAAAAGCATCCTTTTTCCCATGTGAAAGGTCTAGCTCTGTAACTTCATCAGAGCTTTCTGACTGAGATCTTAATAACCTGGAACGTTGTCTTGGCTCTGGAATGGGAGACCCAATGATTTCTTCAGGTAGCTCCTAAAAAAGGATATAAAAATCAACAGCTGTTCTATGTAGCTTAGAAATAATTTCAATTACAAAAAATTTAAGAGGTCTAAGAATCATAACATTTTGAAAATAATTTTATTGAAAAATAAACCCAAGTACAAACTGATTTGGATATGTGGATTAAGAGGTTTGAAAATTCTAGTAGGTTCCCAAAAAGTAGTGAAAAAAAAAATCTCTATCTCTATTAAAAAACAACTTAAGTTCTGAATGATTAAGTCAGTAAGAATTCATGATATACATAGTGTATACGTGTTTGACTTAAAATGCTTTTATTTTTAAGAATATAAACCCTTTACTTACTGGAGGATTAATCTCATACAGTTCCTTATTTTTTGCTATCGTATCATTTATTTTCTTTTGCATGTGAGATATATGCTGCTCATAGGTGCCATCATTTGGAGTCTTCCCAGCAATCTGAATACCACCAGGTGTTGGCAAAGCTGCTAGATACACACCTGTTGCAGACTTTTAAAAAGTCATTAAGAAAAAATGACAATTATGTAAGCACGTCCTTCTAATATTTTTATATAAAGTTTTCCATAACACTTATGCTAGAATGGACAGCACTGTTACATGTACATTACAGCATGATTTCTTCCCTTAACAAACACGTATCTCTCTCCTGTTCACTTACGAAAAAATCCACTATTCTTTTAATAAACTCTCTCCTCTTCTGGATCTTTTCCATGGCAGAGCTTTCAACTTAAAAGTTCCAAACAAGGTAGGAATTAGGTAAAACCTCTGCCCTAGTGTATTTTGCATAGGCAAGTGATGGTTTCAAGGATTTAAAACTTGGTCAAAGCATTTACAGTATCATTGAAGTTGTGATAATCCCATTTCTATTTACAGAAAACAGATCACCAGTTCAGACAAAGAACATGCAAGCCAGTCAACATTACCCAAGCATCTCTTACACTGATGCAGGAAGAAGCAGCATACTTCACTATCCTAACCCACACGACAGAGTGAGGTCAGAAAATATTGTTAATGAACGTTTCTAGACTATCTCTAAGACACCTCCAATCTATCATTTATTTCTTCAGTGCCATCAAAGAAGCAGCGACAGACCTTTTGTTGGCAACTAACCAAAAGATTTATTGAGAGACTTAATTGACCTTATTTGTCATGGAACTGCAATGCACCTTGAGGGACAGGGATCTCTTTGACAGGACCTTTAAAGAACACAAGCGTTTTTCTATAATTTATGCCATTAAAATATTTAAAGTTTCTTTTCCTCTCATCCCCTTTCTAATACTCTTGTCCCCTAACAGAGTTTCAAGAGATTCAAATCTTCTTTTTCTGGTGCTGCAAGACAGTCTGTCCTAATTTGTCAACAATTAGACACCTCATTCCTTTCCATCACTTCATTTATTCTTAAAATGACATTTTCATATCTCTAGTTACTCTGAATTCCACACTTGTTTCTCTTTGTGTCCTGAAAAAAATACTGTAAGAAAGCAAAAGAATCTCAAGATCTCAAGACCGTACTTACTGCCAACCCCATTAGCATATTTTCACCCACAGTGATCTGAATTCTCAGCCCGAACAGAGCATTCATTCCTCTCAGCTTAAGTTTATTCATCAGCTGGGTGTGCACTTCGTATTCCATAAATGGCAAGAGATTGCTGATAGATGTCGCATTTGCTTCAGCTTGAGCTTTCTTCTTTAGACGGCACAACCTGACAACACAAAACAGTAGATGACATCAGCTAATGAACAGTTTTAATGGACTGTTGGAGACTGAAAGTGATCACAGGCTATTTTCATCTCCTTCTCTCTTAGTCAAACCTAATACAATCAGTTTATTTTTACTGTATTTTAAGAGCCTGTAAAATATTAAATTCTCGTCAGGAAGATCAAGGCAGATTGAGACACTGAGTGTCAAAAAGTAAGATATTACTTTCATTTTTAATAGGAAACTGTGTATTTAAATTAACAATAAAAATGGGCAACATAAAAAGTAAACTTATGAAATAGAACAACACACAACCTTCACTAACATTCAAAAATATTCCCTTTCAAAGCATATTACAAAAATTACAAATATTGTATTTTTAAAAATCACTGAATAAAGTCACGTCTCCTTTCTTAAAACACACTTAAGGACTGTTGTCTGACAGAAACAAGATGCATCACACAAGGTTTTTGCCATGATAGTCTGACAGCACTGAATAACTGTGTCATGTAAAGAAGCTTTCTACAGATTCCAGGTATCTATCTGCTAGATGTATGGCTAAATATATTGACACTCCTATCATATAGCAGCAGCTGTTAAAAATTTACCCTGCTCACTCTTGTCAAAGCAAATACTGAAGACAAACACAACTTCTCTGCTACTGCAAGTTGCCTGGCTTTTGTTAAACACCCCCCCATAAAAATAGATTCTTTCAAGGGACAATTACTGCAGCCTTTTTCAACTGAGCCTCAGAAGCGATGCGGCGTATTCTTCTAGATTGCTGCAACTGTAAAATACAATGGCACTTCTTTACAAGAACTCCTTGAGACTGTCTTATCTGAAAATTTGTGTTTTCAGCTTTTCTTCTAGTAAGACCCCAAATGCAAACATTTATTTCTGTTGCTGCAAACCTCTTAAATGCTTCAGGTACAAGCACAGGAAATTACATCTACTGGCAGAACTTTTAAAATTCCTACGAATAGAGTTATTCAAGGTACACTCCGCAACAAAGAAAAAAGCAAGTGCCCTCACAGCTCAAGCACTAACCAGACTAAAAATACTCATGTCCCTCAACATGGACAAGTTACCAGATGTCCATCAGCTGACACAACACGTAACACGGGGAGGAGAAGGCTGTCCTTCTCCTGTACCCCAATACACTGTCATTAACTCCTAGCAATTCAACATAAAAATGTAAGGTTTGATGACGTACTGGATTTTAGCAACAGGAATTCTTTCAGAGATCTCCAAAACTTTACTAAGAAAATATTTCGATAGATACCTGGCTTGAATAAGACATCCCTTCCCAATAACTATTGCCTCTACAGGAAGATCAATTGTGGTGAAAAGGACATCAGGAACTTTTTGCTTCCTGCAGTTGTAACAATAAGTGAGGTGAGCAGGGAATGGCATGTTCAATTCATCATACGGTATATGGCAAAATCCACAACCTGGTGGTGAAGCTTCTTCAATCCTAAAAATACATTATGGAGAACATACATGAAACATCTGCATCTTATTAAGAATGATCAATACATGCACATGTGTATAAACACCTACAGATACCTACTTAAATCATACACTGCAGCTATACTCTGCTCCATTATACCAATGTGACAAGTACTGTATTTTATGAGTTAGAAGAATAAAATTAGGCTGCACAGTACTAGCTAAAATGCTATAAATAAAACTTGCATTGAAACTTGTTATGCAGGGATCAAGAAAAAGTACATATGATGACCAATAACATATAAACCCAAAACATTACTGAGCTGACTTTAGGCACTATGATTTCTAAATGTAGTCCATGGTACAACATTGTACGGAGAATGTGCTGTACCAAATACAATGAAAAGTCTTTTACATGGATTGCATCCAAAAACCTACACAAATCTAATGAGCAGAACACAAACAACAAACCAACCATCCTACTGAGAAGCAGCACGATAATATATTAACATTGCAATAAGAAGAGCAAGATTATTTCCTAAGATAAGGGATTAGATACACCTTGTTATTCACTTAGAACGCCTAGTTCCACTCTTCCGTAAGAAATATCTAGGAATGACCACTATAAAAATACGAACAAGGAAAGCACAGGCTAACTGCATCACTGCAAATTTATTCTGTGTCACGCAAATAATTCTTCTCAGTGAATTCTGAAGAGATGCTTAAGCAAATCTGATAGATTTGGAACACTAGTTATCACAGACTTTGGCAAACATATTTTGTCTCAAACATGGGCTGTGTCTCTTTCGTTGTTTTATTTTCCTTTGGCATTTCTAGTTTGCACCAAGACTCTTAGTAGCACTGAAATACATCTTTTGATAAAAATGCAGTTTTCTTCATATTATGAACATGACATTTCTTTCTCTCCATCATATAGTGAATACGGAAATAAATATTTTTCTTCTGGCTACAGTTTTCAAAAATCTATACAAGAATATAATGTCCTCCTGCTAACAAAGTAAAATAATAATAAAGAATACTATGCTGGCAGAGTTATTATGGAAAAAGTAATACAAGTGCTAAGGTGTAATAAACAGCCTTACTTATGACAACAATAATACCTTGAAATATTTGATAACTATCCTGAAGAACACATAACAAATAATCGATACGCATTAGTTAGATTAACTACTTTTTTCTCCAAAATAACTGTTTGTCAATACTCATTCTTCAAATATTATTTGCAAGAGCAGAAACAAGGGGAAACTTCATGTTTTTCCTTCAGTTTCATTTTCATTATTCTGTTCATAAACTTCAGCTATAACATACATCTTTTGTAAGAATCTAGCACTGTCTTTGTTTTACAATCAAGCTATTTTATCTCCCACACAGCTCTTAAATAGTAGAGAGCACATATACACATATTACAGCCATAGCAGCATTTGGCTTATATAACTTATCATATATCTGCCATTTTTTATAGTGTGATATAAAGTTGAGAAAGATACCTGAAGAGCGGCAAAGAAAAAAAAAAAATAGTTATGATCTGTGGTTAGTAGTCAAATGTGTTACCTTATTCAGACTGTTAGAAATAAAAAACAGAATATCTAATTTGGTGCAGAGTCCCATTACTTCTGTTGTTGTTGTTGTTAGTGAAAAGCAGTAAAGTGGTTGGTCCCGCATCCTGCACTGTAACACTGTAACCTACCCTAATAGAGAAGAACTATCTTGGCTCTGAGGAAAAAAATCAACCTCTCCCTTCTCTGACCCTATGGAAAAGAAGCCAGGCTGCCATGACAACCTTTGTTCCAAACAGCCTTCCATGGTGCCATCCTGAAGAAACCTAGGGTTCAGTACAGCTGCTGTGCCAGACGCGGACAAAATACAGACCTCTTCACTATAAGAGAAAAGAATTACAACAAAGTAAATTCCTACTACTTAGTGCTATTTTTATTTAAAACTATTAGATTAAAAGGCTGGTACAAAAGTCTCAATGAACTCAATATAAACACTAATTTTGTGCATTTGTGCAATTTCATCCATTAAATCCCACAAATAATCCTCGTCTGGTATTTAAACCATTGTGCAAGTAAGAGATGCAGGAAGATTGAACAGAAAGACTAAAGAGCTTTGCTCTGTGTTATAAATAACATGCTACAACATCATAAAGGCTAACCAGGTTTAAGTGTGGTTCTCAATACTACGACTAATAATGCAAAGAAATCCAGTCAACCAATTAAAGCGAAGATACATTAAAAAAAACAAGGCGTAATTGTTTACCAAAGTAAAATGGAAGTTGAGAGCTTCATCATCTTATAAACATTCACTCTCAAAGAGAAGTTACAACACAACACTGACAAGGGTGCTTCTTGGAGGATAAAAAGTAGCAAAACAGTAAAATTTGAATATTAATAACTACAGTAATAGTACACATAGCATGTAAAGTAACTGACCATATTCATGATTTAGCAGAGTTAAAGCTCTCAGAAGGGCAAAGCATGACCACAGAGCTTTTAGTATTTCTGAAATTGTTAAATAAGAAACAAATCTCTAACTTTCAGTACTTAAAATAGTATAGGGGAAAAAAATAAGGAGAAAAGCTTTTCCACACTTTCTAGAACGATATATATGACTTTTTTGATTTATTGTTTCTCTTTCCAGAATAATTTTTCATATATAACATGTCTGGCAGACCAGTACTTACAGATCGAGCCTTGCTCTTCACACATGGAATAAAGCTGAATTGGCAAGTAAGCATGGGCACTCTAATAAACTATTTTATCAGTGATCAAATACTACTACCTTAAATTCCTTAAAAATGAAAGTGTGAAACAACACAACAACTGACTGCCTATCTATACAATGAACATCCTTTCCCCATAGTTAAGGTAAAAAAAAAAAATTTACAAAATATTCACGCCTTTTACAAGGAAACTGACAGCCAAAGGAACAAATCTTTCATTTTTAGTGCAAGTTCATCCCTCAGCGATGTAAACTTGAACATTCAATTCTGAGCTAAATATGGTCTTTAATATATCAAGCAAGACAGGACATAACCAGACAAGATGGCATAAGGAATACAAAACATGCCTTGTCTGTAAAGGAAGTTCTCCTATTTTCCTACTCTACTAGCAGAAGCCCTTGACTTCCAAAAATTGTTTCCACGTTTTGTGAAAGATCAATATATTTGGTGGTGGGTTTTTTTTACCTGCAGTGAAGTAATAAATATGAAGGAACAACAGATGAGAAGCAATCAATGCTGTGACTTTCAGACTGATCGTTTCTGGTTATCTTACTACTTCACAAACAGATGGTGTGCACTCATGAAAGTCCTGTGTAACTTTGCATTTCTTTCTTCAATTTATCAATTGCAAGGTAAAATGAAACTTCTTTTTCACACTTCTCTCTTTAAAAAAGCAAATTCTTTGTGCTTTTTCCTTAAAGCATTTGGGCAAGATCAACTTGACAGAAAATAAACTCAGATGTCTGAGTTTGCTTCAGTCAGCTTCCTAAAGCAATTCCAAACAACTAGCGAGCCAGAGCACTCTTCTGTTTGATACCAATCAGACATACTCGGCCCCATGAGGAACTATTCAGAGATTACTTTCCACAGCTAGATAGAGACACCACCTTTCTTGGGTCAGACAGAAGGACGAGTAATTAGATGAATTCCAAATTATTTCCCCCCATCTTCAAGCCTCTCAAAGTTTGTTATTAAGCCACCAAAATACACAAGATTGGAATTTTCTTAGCCAAATAAGTAAGACACTGGGAGTTTTGTTCTGAACAGAATGCAGGGCTGGGGAATTCAATCTCAGAAAGACTACTGCAGAGCCGCAGTTTAGCATGTCAAACAGTACTGTAGTACTGAAAGATAAAAATAATGACATGCATTTTCCAGAAAGAAATACAGAACATTTACACCTAAAGTATTCTAGATCTATCAGGCAGCATACTCTTCTTTAATCACAATTAATACATTCCTAGTAAAGAACTTGTGCCTTAAGTTTGAAATTTACCGTTTAAGTATTGGTCTGCCAGTTGTTACCAAATAATGACACTGCAATACATACACTTTTAGAAACAGTCTTAAGTATTTAGGTAGATTAGGTTTAGAAAAGTTCATAAATTAATACTGTTACTACAAAAGTAGTTTAAATTTTTTTCTTAAAATAAAAATTGTAATATTCATTAGAAAAAAAAAAAACACAATAAAAACCCAACCCAAAATATATTTTTTTAAAAAAGCACAATACTGAAATCTCAGAAAGTTACTTTAACAAACTCTCTGAAGTAGGTATACTAGATAGTACCAACAACTGTGTTGAAATAGTTCATTGTTTTTAATTTACTGAAGATGAAGTAAATTTTCTGTGGCATTTTGAAAATCAAATCATCATCATGATTTACCAAATGCTAGTTGATTCACTGTAGCCCACTACAGCATGACAACCCAATGCCTTGGCATGGGATTTTATCTCTTGTCTGATTTCTGCCCACCATGCATCTCGTGTCTCTGGTTCATCTGAAAGACAAAGTGTAAATCAGTTCACTATTCTGTGCTATATCAACATAAAACTTCATGCAGTTAATCTGAAAAGTCAAATTTTTCATATTCAGATGTTTTGTTGTATCTGGACATTTTTTATTCCTAGCTATCACACTTCAAGTAAACACTAATAGGGCTTTTTCATTCATTTTCCTGTTTATCACCCATGGGAACAGGTTCTGACAAATTACTGCGTTCTTGTTGTTGTCCACATGACAGGTAACACCAAAATACTGTAGATATTGTTCCAATCTCTACCCACTTGAATACCACACTGTCAGTTTGCAACAACATGAGGGCAGCATGTAACTTGCAACAAAGCATCACAGATACCTAGTTTTTCAATATTTCAGAGTATCTTTAGTAATGAAGTAGTATTTTACTTCGGTATACACTTGACATCTTTGAAATAATCTGAATATAGCTTTTCCTGCTGCAAGCACTTCTCTCTGTTAACCAGATTTTAAAAATATTTGTTGAAGATCTTATCACTAATGAAACACGGTCCCTTTTTCAGCCCTTCTAACTTTGAGAAGCCATAGGTATTTGAAACTACTTCTACATTAAAAGCATGAAGTAGTACAAGATCTGTGTTGACTATGTATTTGTAGATGCTTTTTTGCTTTGGAATCCTGGCAAACATACCTTTTTTCTCTCCTCCCCCCATCCCCAAATGGATTCTTAATCTAATTACCTTTATTGTCTTTGAGGTTACATGCTAAAATGTATCCTACCTGCTTTTATTGACTACTACTTTAAAAATGCAAAAAAGAGTGCTACTAGAACAAGTTTAGGCAATCCACTTATTTTAACTGTTCAGCAATTAGTTTCCCAGAACTGAAGGTCTCGTCTCACAAGTTTTTTACCTATGAAGTCAACAGGTATTGTAGCTTACAATCAGAGTTTGTCAACTGTTTCTTCTTTCAAAATGGCTTACCTGTACCACTGAACTTAGCTGAAAACTACATTAATTGTTGACACATAAAATAAGGGGAAAAACAGTAACAAACAACAAGCACCCAGATGCTACAAAGGGTTCTGAGCAGATAGATTCTTACACAATTTCCCTGAAATCAATTGAATTTTGCACAGATACAAGCTTCTAGCCATTGAGATCTCCTTGCTGAATCATAATTTAAAATATTAATTTCAAAACCTGAGATTCATTGGGAACCAATTTTGTACTATCAGGAATATTCATACAGTGTATGATAACCCTATATCATACACTAGGTTCTCTGACAACATGACAAACAAAAATGAAAGATGCAGATACACACATTTTGAAATTCACTGTAACAAAAATATCGTACAGTAAGATGTACTCATTCATGAAATTACCTCGACTTTTCATTTAGAACTAGGCTTTCAACTTTCTAAGATAAACTAATGATCATTTTCTAAAGAAATAAAGAAAAAAAAAAAGCACAGAGGTATGTATATTCAGCTATACCTAACTTTAGATGTTAATGTTTGTGTAACTCTTAGCATTAGCATTGTACTGACTTACAGCAGCCATGGGTGTGCAGTCTGAAGTTTATCCAAGAAATGAAGAAATGAAAAAAAAAAAACAAAAAACAAAACAAAAAAAAAAAAAAAAAAAAAAAAAAAAAAAAAAAAAAAAAAAAAAAAAAAAAAAAAAAAAAAAAAAAAAAAAAAAAAAAAAAAAAAAAAAACAAAAAACAAACAAACAAAAAAAACCACAACCCAACAACAACACAAAAACACCCTACAGGGATAGTTCTTATGAAGGTTCTCCGCAACCAAGACAAAAATATAAACATTAAGACACAAAACAGACTAAGGATTTTCATGAACTGTATCAATCATGTTCCATTATACCCAAGTGCACCTTCAGCAGGTTTCAATGCACTACTAGCAGAGTCCCAAGGCACTGAACTTCACTGTCTCTCAACATGAAAACACTGTTCAAACGCTTTCACTGACTGCAAATCGAACACTCGAGACGATATACAATAACCCTGACTCGGATGGCTGGAGTGCCTGCTAGTAAGGTCTCACGCTTGCCAGCTTTCAAAAGCTGAGAATCCCACAGAAATAACCTGTCACATCATAGGGCTGGAGTTCCCAAGCTCGGCTATGAGAACCACCTGTGGTACACATCAAAGGAAAGCGGGAGACAAACATCTTCTCTTTTGCGTGTGCACCTCTGTCTGAACAGAGCTGAGATTGCTGCCACCAGTTAATGGCAGTAGTGGTAGGAGAACAGAGCAACTGTAGAAATCCACTGTAAGACAAAGGCTACAACATCTGACAAAATGGAAAGCTACATGGGAGATGCAAGACCCCAATAATATTCTGTAAATGTTATCACTAACTCTTCATGGTGGAATGCACGTGGATCTTGGACATTCCTCCTTCCCCATCCCATCACGGACAAGACAACTGCTTATAAATCTGTGTTTCTCTCTGTAACAGTGTTAAGTAGTTGGAAAAGTGGTTCACTGACTATGCAGAACAATTCTTGTTCGATTAGACTTGATCACAAGTAGCTGGCTATAAACATTGACTGAACAGCCAACAAATTTTTGTACTTCACAGAAAAACACCTGCAAAGGAGAAGTAACGATTTACTAGACAAAAACAAAGATGAAAAAGCCAATTTTAATAAATCATCACTTTTCTCTTCACACCTTTAGGCACCATTTGGCAAAAACTGCTCCTACTTGTCATCAAGGACCTTTCTATGCCAAAAAGTGCAAGAAAACGTGAAGTCATGATGAAGGAGTTTAAAGTGAGCAACAGATGAAGCGACTCAGGATGAACAGCGAAAGTGCTATGGAATAAAGAATAAGATTACAAACAAGAATATGACACTGAAAAGGTATGTAGTCACAAAAAAAAAAAAAAAGAAAGAATGAAATGTTGAAAGGGAACAGATATGCTTAAGGGGAACAGAAAAGGCAGAGATAGTAGTGACGGGTCCCAAACTGTATGCAAACATTTAACTCTCTTCCACAAAAATTTATAGTTTAAATTAACTCTCTTAAGAACTGGTTCCTAAACCTTAATGCAATTTGCTCACCTAACTTATCTAGCAGAATGCCTTATCATAATGGAAAGCACATATTGTCATGAGGTTGCTCAACGCTGTCTTGATAAAGCAACATTTAACCCTTTACTCTGACAATCTGTTCAGAATTAACAAAACTATTAACTACAGCAAGATAAAGGATCACTTTCATTCTTATTAGAGATAAGAACAACTTTCCAGCCATTAACTTCAGTGCTAACAGGATCAGGATCTTTCAAAAAAATTCAACAAATTCTCATTGCACAAGTTCAAAAACTTCTATATGAGTCATGCATAAACAGGTGTTTGTGAAGAAGACTGGGTCCTCTGCTTAAGACATTTAAATGAGTATTTTTTTTCTTCCAGAAAGAGGCCAAAAATACATATCAGTTTATATACAAATACCGTGCATTCAGAGTTTACATGAACTTACCTTTGCATATTAAAACACAAAATGATTCTCTACAATTAAAATCAAACACCATGACATTGCAATAATAAATTGATACAAAACACTGAATGCAGTGCAATGTGTAGCATTCATATTCTTCTGACAAATATTTTCACAAGCAGCCTTTTTGACACATGAGCCACACAATTTCACATGGGGATGCCATTGTAGCATTTACAAGTTTAGTAAAGCTAAGGATTTACATAAACAATTAGAGGAGTTAGGGAAGCAGGATGGCATGTGTCCAGTACACTCCGTAAGAGTGCCTGTTGTCGTTTTTTGCTACGGCAAAAGCTTAAGAACTCAAGGGTTTGCAAAGCAGATTCAGCAGACAGGAGCCAGAAACGGTGGGTATTTTGGCGCATGCTTGGATCAGGTGACAGTACAGACTGAAAACTATGGCAGCTCACTGAAATGGTTACAGAAAGTAATGGCCCTGGATTCTAGGTGGAAGCAAAAAGGCAAGCATACAGAGCACTCAATCACAAGCTTTTCCAGCAAATCTACCGAGTAGATTATAGCAAGGTTTATCTACGACTTTAAGCAAAAAAGTTTGCAAAAACTACACTGCTATTATGCGCCCTTTATTGGAAACCAAAGACTGAATATTAATTCTACTTTTATTAATGTTTCAAAATTGGCATCATATTTGTAACAAAGTGGAAGCAAAGAACACTCTTTCTAGAGCTGAAGATTTGAGAAACAACGCTGTCAACAGTACAGTATTCTATAAAAATTGTGCCAGCTCAAACCTCCTCCAACTGAAACTTTCCAAACTTATTGCATTAAATAGCTTTAGAAGATACAAACAGCACCGTATCTACTTTGTGCTCTAAATGTTCTTCGAGTCAGTTCTATCCACCACCCATTCACCTACCTCTTCCTTCAAAATACAAGGTTGACTTCTATGAGGCTGTATTGTCAACAGGACAACACCCTGTCCGAATCTTTCACCTGGAGATAACCCAAGACACTATCAATAATTTCTGATTCACAAGCAGCAACACCTTTCCAAAGTTATTTGCTAGAGGTTCACTTCTACAGGGCCTTTCAAGATTTAGCCACAATCTGCATTATGCTAGGTCCATATAGATTTTCAAAAACTGAAGAAAAATCAAGAATGGTCTCTTGATTACACAGATCATACTCAAGAGTTACTGTTATAAAGCTGAATCCCTAGGCATCCTGAGACAATTACTCTGAAGTCGAAACTATATGATTCATTTCAATCTATCTAAATATTGTATAATTTAGTAAATATTTACAATGTGACATTATGAAATGACGAGGACAACATACTATGAAAGTTTTCACAATCTACAAATGACTCATTGTTCTGTTGTCTCAAAAACAGCAATGGATACATCAATAATATTCTTTCGAATTCAATCTTTTGAGTCCTTCACTAGGCAGAGCCATTATCTACACATTCCTTAACCCCTTATTCTTTTAGCCTCTTCATTAAAACCTATTAATGAGCTTATACAGAAA